TTTTTTCTGCCAATAAATAGCCTACGAATTCTGCTTGTTATGGGAAATAAATTTGAACTGCAAGCTGTTCCAAGCAAGCCGTTCAAAACATTTACTTAAAACTTAGGTACAAAGTCTAGTAGCCTGTTAGTGACTACAAAATCTGAACAAGCTCTAGATCCATGCTTCTCAAACTTGGGTATCCACAGACTCACCCAAGGGGCCCCCTTGGCAATGCAGGTTCTGGGGCCACTCACAGGGTTTCTGATTTCGTAGTTCTGAGGGCGGAGTGAGGTGAAACTTGGAACAAGCGTGTTAAAGAACTATGCAGGTGATGCTGATGTAGCTAGCTGGGGACCAACGAGTCCATATTTCCCGGAGGTGTTCCTTCTCTCTTATATGTACCTGCCCATCCCCTTACCTGTGAGCAGATTCCCGACCCAGGCAACCTCTTCAGCACTGGCCGGGAAGCAGGTATATATCTAAGATTAAGGAATATTCTTTGAGCTTTTCAACTTCTCTTGACCTGATCATGACAATTAATCACAAACAAGGTAAATTCTTGAAAATCCAGCAGGTTACCTATCTCAGGGATTGTTCAGAGAAGGACTAGTACCGAATGCTTTTGTGCCAAATGAAAGTTCATTGTCATATGTGTTCTGTGCTCGATCCTCACTGCTCCATAGGCCGGGCCTTAAGTGTATTTTATAGAGGAAGAAACTAAGGGCAGGGAGGTTGAGGCACTTGGCAAAAGCCACACAAGAAAGGTGGAGAACCACGTCTCCTAACCGTGCCTCCAATCTCCAAAGCTACTCTTTCTAACAGCATGTTATGAGTTTGGTTACAGCCCTGGCTGGTGTTGCTAAGTGGTTAGAGTGTCGGCCCGCACACCAAAGGGTCAAGGGTTCAATTTCCGGTCAAAGGCACATGACTGGGTTGCAGCCACTTTGATCCTCAGCCACTGTTGGGGCACGTGCAGGAAGCAACCAATTGATATGTCTCTCTCATACTGATGTTTCTCTCTCTCCTCACACTCTCTCCATTGCCCTCCCCACTTCCTTCCACTCTATCTAAACATCAATGGGAAAAATATCCTCAAGTGAGGATTAACAAAAACAAAATTTAAAAAAAAAAAGAGTTTGGTTACATTGCCAGGATATTTAAAGGTGGGTTAAGCATTTTACATTAACAATGGGGGAGGGGGGAATTACTTCTTGGAATTAATTTACATATAAGAGAAAATTACTTATGTATTCTTCTGCAAAGAAAATGATTAAAACTCTAAGAGAAGTCTCCCTCAGTCTCTATTTTCAGACCTTTTACAATGCTTTCATACCTATTACGGGTAGGTATGAAATAGAAAAATAAGTTGAATCCTGATTTGCCCTTGGTTTTCTAGTCCTTTGGCACTGCCCAAGGACATGCTGACTTGGCTCCCTGGAGCTGAGCTGGGCATTTCAGGAACTGTTTCCCACATGGGATCAGAAACATGATTTCACAAACCTAACTTTGTAGAACTTTCTAAACTGACATTTGTAGTTTGGGTGGTTTTGTAGTCTTGATGGTCTGCTCAGAGCTCAGTTTCTGATGAGAGCCCACTTCCTGGTTCACAGATGACCATTTTCTGGGGGTCTTCACAAGGCAGGGAAAGAGGGTCTCTCTTACTCCTCTTAGGAAGGGATACCAAGCATCCTACCGGATTAGGGCCCCACCCTTATGACCTCATTGAACTTTATCTCCTAAAAGCCCTATTTCCAAATACAGTCACATTGGGGTTTAGGGATTCAACACATGGATTTGGGGACAGTGGGGGCAGGGGGAGAGGGGTGTGACACAATACAGGCCGTAGCAGATGGAGTCAGTAATTTTCCAGGAAAGATGCAAATGGACAGCTTTCCTACCAAAGACAGAAAGTTCTGTCTGAGAAAGTAGCCTTTCAACACTTTTATGGCGAAATGGCCGGTGGATCAAGAAGTCAACGTGTGGCATTACCAGTCCTTATGTGGGCACCCCAGAAGATGCTGTGGCTGCTGACTCTGGCTCCCCAATGTCTTAAACAGAATTATATGCAAATCAATCCATAGGTGAACACTTCCTGGCAGGCATGCTTTAGTCAATGGCTTCCCTGCTGGGTTTTGGGCAAATCAGGTAAGCTCTGGCCTTAGGGCTGCCTTAGGCTGGGTTCCCTAAAAGCTGAGCCTGAGACTGGGGTCCTTGTACAAGAGATTTGTTGGAGAAATACTCTCAATCTGGGCATCAGGCTAAGCCAGAGGAGGCAGGATAGGCCAGGGGAGGAAGTTAGGCAGAACTGTAGTTTTAGGAGAAATCTCACCTCAGCCTGCCCTGTGGGGACCTCCAGACATACTCTACATAACAGAGAGTGTCCCCTGCAGAGGCAAGGGCACAGGGTACCTTTGCCCACTCCCAACTGTCATTTGCTTGGTTTAGAAATTATATTCTCTATTCATTCAAAAAATGTTCCTGATGAGGAGCCAGGGACACATTTATTTTACATAAATTGGATTTATACCACATACTGCTTTTATTATAAACATTTTTAACAATATATAATAGTCATTTACCTCTTATTGTTGAAAATATAGTTTTCAACATCTCCATTTTTTTTCCCCCAAGGTTCTCTATATATGGACATTAGTCCAAATATTTCTTGGCATCAATTTCTACAAGTAGAATCACTGGTTCTGCAAATTTGTTAACATATTTTCATCATAACATTGTCTGGAAAATTAGTATATTCAGCTGTCAAGATCTGATGCTATGTTATGCTATGATCTTTTGAGGTTGGTATGGCTGTTACATTTGAAGGCATTCTTGGAGACTTTCAGAACCTGCTTCTTAATTTTCTTCAGTGTGTGAGGAAGTCCCTTCTGTTTCTGATCTCCATGGGTCCTTCCTTCAAGTTCAGATCACTCCGTACTGGCGGTCAACAAAATATCCTTTTCGACAGCTCTGGAAGCATGACTGTCCTAGTCCTGGGCTCCATAGAAGAGGAAGGGCTTCCATATCTGCTGCTGAAGGATCTTTCTCTGGACTAAGATACACTGGAAGATAAGCCAGTTTCTGATATTCCTTTCTTCTCCTCTGGTCCCTTACTTTGTCCAGTTCCATGTTCATGTACTAAATTCACCAACTTGTGAAAGGCAGGTGAAGTTCAGATGATTTGATTCCAGACTGAGGTTTTCTATTCTACAGAGTTGATAGATGCCATTTCCTCCTGAGTCTGTCTCTCCCACCTCCCCTTTCAATATCTAGCAAATGGTCCTTTTTCTCTTTCAAAGTCCTGTTTATATCTTTTGTTACCAGAAAGGGACCAGGCCCGGAGCGGGTCTGCCTCAAGCAGGCCTGTAGTGTGGGGGTTCTTACCTTCATGCAGGAAAGATTTTACAACACGAGTCCAGATGATTTTGAGAGCACGTTTATGAAACCTGGGGACAGGGCCCTGGTCAATGTGGCTAAGTGGTTAGAGCATCAGCCTGCCCACCAAAGGATCTGAGGTTTGATTCCCAGTCAAGGGCATGTAACTGGGTTGCAGGTTTGATCCCTGGCACCAGTCAGGGCGCATGCTGGAGGCAACCAATCAATGTGCCTTTCTTATATGATGTTTCTCTCTCTGTCCTTCCCTCCTTCCCACCCTCTCTAAAAAAAATTAATGGAAAAAATATCTTAAGGTGAGGATTAACAAAACAAAACAAAAAATTAAAGCTGGGTAAAGTGAAATAAGGACAGAAGAAGCAATGAGAGAAAGCCTAGGCGGGGCTGCTTTGGCTCACTGAGAAGTCAGAGACAAGGGGGCCTTGAAGACAGACAGGTTCAGGAGGTTAGCCCAGGCAGAGCTGCCTGCAAATCTCATGGGGATCCTTAGAGTTTAGGAGATGCACGCCGGGGGGATGAAAAGGGGAAGGAAAGGACTGACACTGCTCCCAGGAGGAATTTAAAGACTGGGCTTTGGGGGAGGTCTTAGAAAAGGATCTAAATAGAATATTCATCAGTTTTATGCTGATGTGCCAAATGAGATTTATTCCCTTAACTCCATCTGTCCTTGGGTGTGGTTGGCAAATGGCACTAGTTGGATTTCTGCTACCTATTTCCCCAAGTAGAGTATTTAAGCTATTTACCCTCTGATTGAGGAGAAGTGTAAACCACTTACTCTTAAGTGCCCTTGGTAGGGAAGATAGGACTTCACCACTTACTGATGGCTGAACACTGCTTGGACGTTTACCCGTCTGTCTCAGCTTCCCTATTCCACTTGTCCTGGCTTACTGGCCTGTCTCATCTTGACCCTCAGATTACCTTCCAACCCAAGGACCCATTTACGGTTAGGCCATAATTGCTAGGTTTCTAATGATTAACGTAGCCAATCTATTCACACCTTTAACTATTCTTTGCATTTTTCTTCTTTGTAAAAAACAAACAAACCTGTTTACAAGATCAGGGGGATGCTCTCTCTAAAGCAGCCGGACTTTGGGCAGGCCTTGGAAGGATGCTGGGTGTCTAGGGAAAGTTAGGCTTACCGTGGGCCCGGCACAGTGCTAACTGCATTATATAGGGCCTATATAAAAGAAAGAACCTATAATATAGGTTCCTTTAAACCTCAAGACAACTCTGTGAGGTAGATATCATTACGATCCCCATTTTACAGATTCGAGGCTTAGGGAGGTTGTCATTCATCCACAGTTCACAGCTACTATGCGGACCCCACTTCTGCTTGTAAACTAAGGCGATGAAGAAAAGGGAGGCAGGCCAAGAAGTAAAATATAAAACGGAGTAAGAAGCAGAGGAAACGTAGGCAGGCGATCGGGTGCAGCCTCTTTCCGGTCTCCTCTCCAGCCAGGGCTGAGCCAGCACGATGCCCCAACGCCTCCCAGCGGCCGCCTCTCTCCCCGCAGTGCTTCCGGCCACGGGAGGGTGTCATTGACGAGCGCGACTGCGTCGGCGCAGACCACGTGCGTGCGTGTGGCGTAAGACGTCGGCGAGGAGGCGGGTCTTCCGGTCCTGGCCCAAACTATTTCCGACAGGAGCCGGAAGACCATCCCGGATGGCGCCGGGGGTGGCCTGCTGGTGGAGGTGAGCGTGGGGCCGCCCGCCTTCCCGCGCCCGCGGGTCGCCTCATGCTGCGGGCCGCGGCCGCCAGTCCCCGCTCGGATCGGCGGCGCTGAGGCGCCCGGGCCGAGTGCACCATGTCGTCGGGTCTCCGCGCGGCCGACTTCCCCCGCTGGAAGCGCCACATCTCGGAGGAGCTGAGGCGCCGGGACCGGCTGCAGAGGCAGGCGTTCGAGGAGATCATCCTGCAGTGTGAGCGGCGGGCGGGCCCCGGGAGCGGGCGGACGGACGGGCCTGCAGAGGCACGTGGGGCGCCGGCGGGGACCAGAGTGCCTCGGACGCCCCAGACCATTTTTTTTTTTTAGACCTTCTCTTTCATTTTACCCTTGGGTGTGACTGTGGAGGGGTTCCTTTACTAAATCGTGCGCTCTTCGGAGGCTGGCGCCGTGCACGCTGGCGTTTGTAAATCCCCGCAGCTCACGCAGCGCTTGCTCCAGAAACGTCCTGTTTCTCGGGCATCCGTGTTTTTGAAACGGGCACTGACTTTAAGCATTAACTCGCGCAATGAACATCTTCTGAGTGTCATGAAATGTTTAGCATTTCATCCTTTAGACCTTCCTTATTCCAACTTGATATTCTTTGACCATTGAATATTTTGAGGCTTAATATACTTTAAATTTGGGGCAACATAGTTTTTGCTATTACTGAAAACTTCAATATAAGAAAGGTAGTTAGTTTCGCCTTAGCCGGTTTGACTCAGTGGATAGCGTTGGCCTGCGGGCTGAAGGGTCCCAGGTTCGATTCTGGCCAAGGGCACATGCCTGGGTTGCGGGCTGGATCCCCAATGGGGGACATGTAGGAGGCAGCCGGTCAATGATTCTCTCTCATCATTGATGTTTCTTTCTCTCTATCCCTCTCCCTTCCTTTCTAAAATCAATAAAGATATATTTTTTTAAAAAAAAGAAAGGTAGTTTCCTTCCACCACCGGTGCAATATGAGTAGAAAAATGTACCCTTAAATGCGTTCTAATGAGCACTTCCTAGCTCCCCCCTTCTTCAATGTTACCATAACTGATGACACATTTAGGGTAAGAAATGGGCAGTGTTCAGTCCTGTGGTTTCATCTACCCCCTTGAAGTAAGCCTGACAAGTCTCTCCATTTATATTGATTGATGAGATTTGTAATACTAGTAGTTGACCTGTGTTGAGTTCTGATTGCACTAAATCAGTGGTTCCCAAACCTACCTGTACGTCAGAATCACCTGGGGAATCTTATAAAGTGTGCCGACAAGTTTGAGTACTGTAGTCAACATTTGGCATTTATTATTTCACTTAATCTTCCTGAAAATCCTACGAAGCAGGTCCTGGTGTCCATTTTACACGAGGCGGAGAGAGGTTAAGTAATCTGTCTGGAAAGGTACAGCAGGTTAACAGTGGGGGCCTAGAATTGAAGGTAGACTTGATGGCTCCCAACTTGGATTTGCTGTTCTCCCTTGGTCCCCCAAGAAATGGCCCTTAGATGGGAAAGAAAGGGAGATGGTGGAGCCCTGTTATGGCTTGTACTCAAAGGCCCTGGCAGACCAGTATCATTTCAAAAAGCCAGAGGCACAGGCAACCCTCTTACTCAAATGTGATTCCTTAGCAGGTCATCAGGTATTTATTTAATGCTTGTTCTTCAAGAGCTAATGCACATTGTAAGTCAAATTGGGTTGGAGATCGGACTCCACTCCTTACTAACCATTTTTTACACTTGCCTTTCTGAGTCTGGTTTGCTGCATCTATAAAATGGGGGTGACGCTTGCTCTGCCTGCTTCATAAAAACAAGGCTGTGCATGTAAGTGCTTTGGAAGCCATGTCCGTAAGTCTATAAATGAAAGATGCTTGTAATCACATTGGCACAATTTGAATGTTTTTCTGCACTTTAAAAATGGGCATCTTGATGGGGTGTGAGGATGTAGAAAAGTCAGGAGAGATCAGTCCTGGAAAGGGAACATATCTTTTAATGAGCTGTGGTGGGCAGAGAATATCTGAGGGGCTAGAAGCGGGTAGGAGAGCAAGACCACCTTTCTTTACGCTGAGGATTGACATTGGGGAGATCACTTCTAGTTTGACCTTGAAACGGCCCCAGTCCTCCTTCCAGCCTTCCCAGTCAAGTTCTGACTGTCTATCAGCCCAGAATCTCATGTTCAGTTCCTGCCTCTGAGCCTGAAGAGAAAGATGAAAAGAGGCTGTGGGAGCAGTGGGCATCTTCATCCTTCTCTCTCTTTCTATTTTTTTAATAGTTGGTATGGGGTTTTTTATTGATTTCAGAGAGGAATGGAGAGGGAGAGAGATAGAAACATCAGTGATGAGAGTCATTGATTGGCTGCCTCCTGCAGGCCCTGCACTGGAGAGCAAGTCCACAACCTGGGCATGTGCCCTGACTGGGAATCAAACCGTGACCTCCTGGTTCATAGGTTGATGCTCAACTACTGAGCCACTCAGGCTGGGCCTTCCTTCTCTTTAGTGAGAGGAACTTTAGGAAGGATGCCTCAATACCGCATGTCCTTTGAAAGACCTATTATTATCACAGGGCACCCAGCTCTCCTGTAACATTTGAAAGATCTTCTTAGAGCCCTTTGACACTGGTGAATATCCGAAGTTGGAGCCACTTCCCTGTTCTGACTAGTTCATTAAATTAATGTAGATGAAGAGAGTGTTTCTTTTTCTGCCAGTAATTCCATTTTCAGATATTAAGAAGAAATAGAACTCAAGACTCTTATTTACTTATCCTCATTGGAGGATGTGCTTATTGATTTTGGAGTGAGAGGAAGGAAGAGAGAGAGAAACATCAATCGTATGCATCCTGGGGATAGAACCCACAACCTAGGTATGTGCCCTGACCAGGAATCAGACCTGGGACCTTTCAGATGCAGGGTTCGATGCTCCAACCAACTGAGCCACACCAGCAAGAGCTGAACTCAAGGGCTTGAGAACCTTTAAGAAAATAAAAAAGCTCTTCTAACAGGAATGGTCACTAGCATAAACCCTATCAAAATTTTGTTCTTAAGCAGTTATAATCTTGGACTTTTAGGATATGCAACAACCCCCATCAAATGTAGCTATTCTGCAAATTCCCCATGGTCACTCTCTTGTTCTGGTTAAACACCCCTACCCCCCACCCCAAATATGATCTTGCTGGGCCCCATGTGCCTGTCATTACTAACTACAAGTCCATTTCTAGCTCAGACCTTTGTTTTGAATTCCTGCACTGTGTTGCTTGTCACATTTGCAAAGTTCAGAAAGGGAACTCATTTTCTCCCTTAAGCTCTCCACTCATGTGTTCTCTGATACAATAGCATCTTCCACGCAGTTTCCTGAGCAAGAAATCTCAAAATGATATTTGACTTCTTAGTTTTTACTCCAGGGTAGAAATGGGTAACTGTGGGAGTAGAAAGAATTTTCCATTGCCTTTAATAGGGTGAACATGGGTCCCTTGACTGGGTTGCCCTTGCTTAGGCCAAGCAGCATCTAAGGAGTGTATGTTCCTGAATTTTGGATAATTGCTCTAATTGGTGACAAAGTACAGTACCTAGTACTTTGATACTTAATAAAAGTGAAACCATTTATTTAGGTCCAAGTCTTTGTGTGTGTGTGTGTGGTCCAAGTCTTTATATGACATTAAGTAGTAAACACACGTATGTAGGTTATAATAAATAACTTGATTTTCTCTCTTTTGGGGGGTAGATAACAGGTTGCTGGAAAAGTCAGATCTTCACTCAGTGCTGGCCCAGAAGCTACAAGCAGAAAAGCCGGACATACCCAACAGGCATGAGATAAGGTATTTTGAAACTATCCTGTATAATTTGTACCTCTCATGAATTGAAATTAGTCTCAGTTCATTTCTCTAATTTAGAAGCAAACCAAGTACTGTTTCTGCGCTCTAGTTTTTGTCAGCTCTTTTTAGATAAGATTCTGAAGCCAGATAACTAAAATATTTTTTAGAGGTTCTCCCACCTACCCACCTTGAAGGGTTATTGGTAAGATGTTAGCTAGAGAAATTGCTTAAGGCGGTACTTGGCCAGTTCCTTCTCCAGCCAGTCAGGGTTCACATTTTCTAAATAATCAGACAAGTAAGCATTCCTGAGCAGATTTACATAGTTCTTGTTTAATACAGATTGCCATAAGTTGCTTTTTCTACAAAACAGGTCTATTTGATCCTTTTTATTCATTGTTTTTTCAACATATTTTAGTAGATTGTGAAATAAACTAACAGGTTGCAACAAGTCTTTTTCTTTTAAGAAAGATTAGGGGAAAGGTCTGCGTTTCTATAGGAAGGATGAGTATTGTCTTGTTAAATATGCATATATGAGTTCATGATGAGGATCTGATGTGTTTACTTGGGTCATTTATGTAAACTATATTTCTTTCTGAGGGTGACGGTCCAAAAACCTGAAAGCCAGTCTTCAAAGCAGGGTAATTGGAATCATTCTAGAGTCTTACTGTCTTTTTCCATATGCTCATGTTGCCATATTAAATTTGATGGTTTGTATGAGAACGGTAGCCATTATTGCTCTAAAATTCCATTCTTATTTGCATATTAGTTAACAGTTTTAAGAACAAGGTTAATGGTAATTTGGGGTTTTTAAAAATCCCACAAATGCTAGATGTAGCTTAAGACATATCTTTACTGCTGTAGCTGAATGGGCTGTGTAACTGCCGTGCATGTTTCCACATCTGGCCAGATGGGAAAGAGGAACAAATGGGCTGGCCCAGGTTCCATCCTTGCTAACAACAGTTCAGCAGAGTGTGCCTGGCTGGACCCTGTTGGGAGTCTTCTGTAGCATTGAAAATACTCGGTTCAGTCTTCTAGTCAATTTCAGGTATAGAGAATACCATTTCACCTTTTCATCTAAAATCAATCGATTGAAAACTTGAAGCATTTTATTTCTACCAGGCTAGACTCTTGGTGACTATATTTCTGTATATATTTTTTTTTCTGACAAACTCATTTGCTTGGAAAGGTACTATAAGTAAATGTAAAAACAATTATTTTGGTTGAATATCACAGGGGTGGTAATTTGATTGGGGGTCTTTCCTTCCCCACAAACGTGTGTCCATAATCAGGCCTCTCCTGACTGCCTGATTCTTTATTTTCCATGAGTCATCTATGGTTCCTTTTTCCTTCACTGACCTGCCCCTCCACATATAGTCAGTTCCCTGGGCCTGTTGGTTCCTCCCACAGTCTCGAGTGCATCTGTCCTTTATTTTTTTTATTTTTATTTTTTATTTTTTTGCTGTGCCCCTCTCCCCTTCATTTGTTACCTGCCCTTCCATTCCTGCACTGTGACACCTTCTGCACTCAGACATTCTGTGACTGTAGTGTGAGCCAGGTATTAGGGATATGGAGGCGAATAAGTCAGTGCCCATTTTTAAGGAAGTGGGTCTAATGGGGGTCACCAGTTCAAGGGGTGTTTGCTAGTGAGATAAGTTATGCACAGAATATGGCTACCTGGGTGATTATGTTTTTAAAAAAATTCAATAGTAAATTTGGAGAACTAATGGGATTTATTAAACAATTTGTGAATCTGGCAACATCCCATCTAGCAACTGGAAGTTGTATAAAATAGGAAGTTTTTATAGGAAGGGTGGGGCAAGGGATTACAAACAAAAGAAAAGAAAGAATTATAATCCCAAGGATTTTTATCATGCAGATAGCCTCTTTCTTTGAGGAGGGAGGAAATGGAAAGGGTCCACCTGACAGGTTACCTCTAGTTGTTGATCAGAAACTTTTAAACTGGCTGACTCACATGAGAGAGATTGAAACTGCAGTTAGATCAGATATTAAATGTAGGTTTGGGATTATAGGCTTTTAGCACAAGTGATCCCATTTTGGGCCTTTTGTTTTTTAAGTTTCCTTTCTCCCTCCTGTCTCCTTAAGTCCTGTGCATCTTGTCCTTATTAATCTTAAAAGAATTGTACAATTGAAACCTATTTAATTTTATTAACCTGGGTCACTCCAATAAATTTAATAAAATTAAAAAATACTATCAATTATCTGACTTCCCTCGTCAGTGTTTTAATCCCCTTGCTTACTAAATAGATTAAAATTAAACTCTTCAGCCTGAATATCGTGGATTCCAGTAATTTTCCAAGTATGCTTCCTGAACAGCAGCATCTGGGAAATTGTTAGAAATGGAAAGCCTTGGGTCCTTCCCCAAACCTATTCTTTCAGAAACTCTGAGAGTGGGGCCCCATTAATCTGTTTTAAGAAGCCCTTTAGGTGATTCTGATAACCTCCAACTGTTGAGAACCACTGTGTTAGTCCATGGCTACTCAGGAGTCCTTGTGAATCAGCCAGTGGACGTACGGATTATCAGCTCTATCTCAGACCTGTATCAGTCTGGGGTGGGGCTTGGGAGTGTTTAAACATGCCTTCTAGGTGACTCTTACCTACCTAGTGAAGCACTGTTGATGGACTATTGTTAGGAGTTTGACTTTTATTTTGAGTAAAATTGGAAGTAGTAGGAGGCTTTGAAGTGGCATGAGTGACCTGTATCCTTGCCCTAGTCTCCAGCTCTTCTTTAGAATGCCAACTCCTTTTAAGAGGGCTTTTACATTTTGCATATTCCCCATTGCTCTGCATTAACATAAGGAGATTTGATAAAGATAATTTCTAATCCACATATGCAGTTAATCACCCAGGCCTGTTGATGATTTCTCCTAAGATTGGGGAAGCACTAGGTCGCCTCAGAAGATGAGGCATTGTGTGCTTGAACTTGTGATAAAACTTTAGAGATGGAGATGGGAATTGGAGGGAGCATCGTGCTCTCCCCCCTCCCACTTTCCCCTCTGTATTTCCTTATCCGTGGTGGAGGAGGCAGTTCTCCCCTCCTTTCAGGTGGTGGTATCCCAGCTTTCTTCCTTTCCTCCATTCATGTACATACCCTGGGCGATGGTCTGATAATTCACATCTGTAGCTCCAGCTGAGACCCCTTGCCTGCTGCTGTTTCTGAGATACTGTGCAAACACCTGCAGAGTTCCCAGAACCCCATTGGTCCTTGAAGCAGTCTGAACTCAGTTGCTACATGTCAGCCTCCAGCTAGAACCTCTTTACTTGAAGTTCAGACTCCAATTTCCACTTGGTTGGTGGACATACCTACTTGGTTATCCCCACTGAACTCTTCAGCCCTCCCCCAAACCTGCTTCTCCCATTGTCCCTCCCATCTTAGTAGGTGATGCCTACATTCTATCAGTTGCTCAGTCCAAAACCCTTGGAGTCATTCTTTACTCCTATCTCTGATACCCCACATTCAATTTAAGGGCACATACTGTCGTCTCTCTTCAGAATGGATCTAGCTGGGATCTGACCACATCTCACCCCCTCACTGCTACCACCTTCATCTGAGCTGCACTATCTTAACCCAGACTGTGGGCTGTATAACAGCTGTATAGCTCTAACTGGTCACTCTGTTTTTACCCTTGTCCCCTGCATTCTGCTATCCACCCAGCAACCATAGTGATCCTTTTAAAACCAAAGTCTCTCCTCTGCTCAAAACCCTCCAATGGCTTGCAGTCATACCCAGTAAAAGCCACAGTCCTCCGGCCTGTGAGGCTCTGCCTGACCTCCCCACTCCTCCCCAACTGGCTCTAGTCACACTATCCCTGGAGAACGCCATCTGTGTCCCTCCTCCAGGCCTTTCCAACACTTGCTGTTCCCTCTGCTTAGAAGGGCCCCCACGGACCACAAAGCTTGTACCTCACCTCTTTCCCGTCTCCATTCTTGTATGACCTTTCAGAGAAGCCTTCTTTAATCACCCTGCATAGAACAGGACCCCTGTCACTCTGTACCCGACTAAGTTTTTCTCAGTGCATCGGACCACCTGCCTTTATCTAGTTACTTATTGTCTGTCTGCTCTTAACTTCTTGTCAGTCGCATGAGAGCAGAGCTCTGTGCACTGCTTTCGTCAAGCTGCAGGAGCAGTGCCTGGCACAGAGTTGGTGCTCACATACTTGCCTGGTGAGCAGCCTGCTTGTCTCTTCCATAGTTACCTAATCTTTATTCTGGAACCTACCCTTTATTCCTGAAAGCACGTGGTGGTTTGGGTAGTGGTTGGTCTCCTACTTTCTCCATCAGGTTTATGTGGTGTATAACTACACTGGCCTGGAGAGACTGGCCTGCTTTATTGGCTTTGTTGTCATGTTCATGGTTGAAATTCTGGAGTTATTGTTCCACTACCTGATTGAAAGGGGTCTGATTCCCCCCCCCCTTTTTTTTTTTTTGCACATTCTCTTCATCTGCCTGGTTTGGGAATTCAGTCCCGGACATGATGGTGCATGGAATGATGGCCAGCTACAGGAAATGGCCCACCTGAAGATGAAACACCAGGAAGAACTGACTGAGTTGCACAAGAAACGTGGGGAGGTAAAGATAGCTGCTCTCCTTGTCTGTTTTCTGCTCTCTGTGGGTCTTTTAGTGGGAGGATGGGCAGGCTGGCTTCGTGTGGCATCACCAGCTCTATCTGGGGGAATGAAACAACGGGAAAGGTGTGAGGGCCTTGTTTCCATCAGCAAGAGGGCAAGCCATTGAGATAACTGCCCAGTTGTCATGCTCTAAGATAGCATGGAAGGTACAAGTGGAGAAATTTGAAAGGAAAGAAGTTTTCTGCTTGGTCCACTGAAGATCTAAAGCTTTTTAGAAGCAGATAGCCGATGGATGGTTACCAGAGACAAAAGGTGGGGGGTAAGGGTGAAACAGGTAAAGAGGTCACTTATATGGTGATGGATGGAAACTAGACTTTCGGTCGAATTATATATAACAGTGATGGCAAACCTTTTGAGCTCGGTGTGTCAGCATTTTGAAAAACCCTAACTTAACTCTGGTGCCGTGTCACATATAAAAATTTTTTGATATTTGCAACCATAGTAAAACAAAGATTTATATTTTTTATATTTATTTTATATATTTAACACATTGTATGCGGGAACGTATTTATACATTTTACGTTGACTGGTAGTAGAGCGCGGGACACGTATTAATACGTTTTTTTATAGACTAGCGGTAGAATGCGGGTAACGTATAAATACGTTTGTTTTTATACTTTTTTATTGCTCTAAAGGGTTACTAACATGCAGATACACGAATTCCAAAGGACAAAATTTGGGTCTCTAACACATACAATGGGGAATTATGTATGTACTTCCAGATATAACGGTTATCAATCTATTCAACTGCAAAAATGGCCCGTGCCACCTGTTAGCACGTGATAAAAACTACCTGCAAACAGTGTGTTAAATGCCATTTAACAAAGAAAAATCAACCAAAAAAATGAGTTCGCATGTCACCTCTGACACGCGTGTCATAGGTTCGCCATCATTGATATATAATGTTGCACACCTAAAACTTCTATAATGTTATAAACCAGTGTTATGTCAATAAAGAAAATAATTTTTTAAAAAATCTTTTGAGAGTGAATCCTGAAATTTCAGAAAGAATCGTTAGAATTAAATCCTGAGCTATGTTAACTCTCAATGGTATTGTGATGACACATTATGAAAAAGTACAATAAAATTTACAAATCAGCTGAATTGATCGTTTTATCAGCTGAAGAGTCTGAAAAGATAGCTGGGGTGCAGGGGTAGACAGAGTCCTCAGCAGAAACCTGTCAGTCACCTAGAGCGCTTCTCACCCATCCGAGCCTGCCTTCAACAGGGACCAGCACCCACCATTCCCATGAGCATCCTTATGGGCCCTTCAGCTCCTCTCCACCACCCAGCTCATTTCATCCTGCCTTAGCTCAACCCACAGGCACCTTTTCTTTCTTAAAAATAATTTAACCCACTGTTATTTAGTTTTCAACGAGGCTCTAAAATCTCTTATTTATTAAAGTATTCTTCTTTACCCCCCAGTTAGCTCAGTTGGTGATTGACCTGAATAACCAAATGCAGCAGAAGGACAGGGAGATGCAGATGAATGAAGCAAAGTGAGTAGAGACAACACCTACTTTGGGACTGGTTGTGGGATCATGCCCCTGTTTTATCTACTGTACTCTTGTGAGTAGGGCCAGTGGTGATCAGTGGCAAATGGTAGCCACGTTGGACTCAGCAAGAGTTTCATTTTTGTGCATGTATAGCTTGGGATCTTTTTTCCTGCTCTAAGGATGGAAAAGGCCAGGACAGTGCCCTCAGTCTTCCAGGTTCCCAGCATACTCCTGGGAAGTACCTTTGGCCCTTGGAAATGTCCTTGGGGCATTCACAGTTCTCCCCATGGCCGCTGGGTATGGGAGCTGGTGTCTTCTGTGGTGGAAATGGCCCAAGATAAAGAGTGTGTGGTCCTTGAGAGCAGGGATGAGTTTGTGGGCAGGATTATTCTTGATTGGAGAGAAGCCTGGCAGATAAGATAAACAGAGACTCAAGCCTGAGTCATTGTGCCTTTTTCCTTAACGTGCAGAGAGGGATAACTAGAGGCTTAGAAAAATAAGGGACTTCCTCAGGCATTCTCAGTCAGTGAATGATAGAGCTGATGGAATACACAGGATTTCCAGCCTCTTAAGCCCCTGTTGACCGCTCACATTAAGCACCAGAAGCTTCCTCTCTTCAAATTTTGCTTTTCTGAAAAATGCTGTAATAGTCATTCATTATCTGGATGAATTTGACCCCAGATGCTTCCTCTCCTAATGGGGTTGTCCTGTAAACCATTGGGACTGGACTCTAAGTGAGGTGTAATAACAATGAAGTCTCCTGCATGGTGCCTGATGTGATGGCTGAGGTCACTGCTGGTGCCCGAGCTCATACAGCTCCAGCACCTGGCCAGGTCCTCTGGCCCCCAGCAGGGCTCCTGCAAAGTGCCATTTCTTCCCTGTGTTGTGCTTTCAGAATTGCAGAATGCTTGCAGACTATCTCTGATCTGGAGACAGAGTGCCAAGAACTACGCAGTAAACTGCAGGACCTGGAGAGAGCCAACCAGACCCTGAAGGATGAATATGATGCCCTGCAGATCACTTTTACTGCCTTGGAGGAGAAACTGAGGAAAACTTCGGAGGAGAACCAGGAGCTGGTCACCAGGTGGATGGCCGAGAAAGCGCAGGAAGCCAATCGCCTCAATGCAGAGAATGAAAAGGATTCAAGGTAGGAGATGTATCCATAGTTAATAGGTTTCTTTTTTGCTAAAGTGGAACCTAGGTCTTTGAAAAGAAGGAAACAAACCTGGCAGCTCCTACCACAGGGTGGGGGAAAACCAGAAAACATTAATAAAAGTAATTTTGAGAGTGGATGCAACTGTTGACAGCATTAAGATTTTGCCACAGGCGAGGCTTCTGTGTTCAGCCCTAATCTCATTTGTAAAATGGGAATAATGGCACTTAACCTCAAAGCATTGTTATGAGGATTAAATGAGTTAAAAACTGTAAAGTAATAAAACTCAGCTAAGAACAAGTAAATTGTAAGTGAAGCTTAACTATTATTATTCATGCTCTTGGTATGTCGGTGTGAGGCTGTTTGCTGTAGAAACTAAGTTGCAGCCATGACTAACCCTGAATACACTTTTCTGTCCTGAGAGGCCCTGGGTCCCAACAGGCTTCTCCCTTGCTGGTTCACTGCTTTTTCTAATAACACTAGAGGCCCGTTGCAGGAAGATTCCTGCAAGAATAGGGCTTCCTACGGCTGGAGTGAAGCAGAGAAGGGAGCGAAACCCGCTGAGGCAGGCTTCGCTCCCATCTCTGTCGCCCGGCTTCTTTTGCTCCTGCCTCCACCTCCCGGCTTGTTTTCAGCCGCCTGGCTTGCTTCGCTCCCAGCCGGTGTATGCAAGGTAACCACCATCTTTCTTAGTGGTTAATTTGCATATCGTGCTGATTAGCCAATGGGGGGGGCATAGCGAAGGTACGGTCAATTACCATGTTTGTCTATTATTAGATAGGATAATCCTCCCTCCAGGCTTTGCTCTGACATCCTTTATAACAGCATCTTTACCAATGTTACCAGTATGGATTTGGGACTTTGGAGTCTTTGCTCAGGGCAGTTGTTATTTTGAATGCACTGAATATTTAGATACATTATTAGAGCTAGTTTATTGAGAGCCAAAGCCCCATGCATTTTTTAAGCAAACATAAGTAGTGGGCTTTCTTTTCTTTTTTAATAGGCGGCGGCAAGCCCGACTGCAAAAAGAGCTTGCAGAAGCAGCGAAAGAACCTCTACCAGTTGAACAGTAAGTAGAGCTATGCAATCAAAACTGCTCTGAATAATTTGATTCTCTCTTTTTAATATATTTTTAATTTCTATAAAACCATTTTATGGATTGCTGAAAGAAATGTAAAAGATTTAAGGAAGAAAAGAACCCTCATTACCTTCCAGAAAATTGTTCCTCTTTACACCCCTCATGTGCTATGAGTTCTAACTCCCTGCACCCCTAACTCATGACAACCTCCCTGTTTTCCTGTTGCTACTGACCCACTTTCTCCCCCTGCTTGGGGCAGTGTTATGCTGGGCAGGGTTCTTTTGCTCTTGGTTTGTGGCTTTAAATGGATGTTTGGGCAAATCCTTGAAGCATAAGTGAAGACTAGGATCTGTTGGAACAAAAGGAATTGAATCAGTTGGAGCTTTTCCTAATCTGGAGACAGGGTGGAGAATCTTCCCTGAGACCCAAAGCTTTGTTTTGAGGTGGTGGGAGCTTTCATGACTGAATTCCTTTTGTCTCTAATTCAGAATGTGTTCTTTTCCTGTTGAATTATATTCTGGAATATGGCATTAGAATTATCTGGTTTTTAAAAAGTTACTTGCATATAAATGAAGGGGGGGTGGTTGAAATTCATTTAGGAGTCACCTAGCAGACAAAGGTCTTATTTTATAGGGAAACAAGAAGGTTCTCATACCAAGCCTTTGCTGTAGATGCAGAATGGACATTTCTTCTGTAATTGTAGAGGTGGAAAATGAACCTGACAAAACTGCAATGTAAATAAATTAATTGACCTGGAAATGAGGTTTGATTTCTTAAAAATTACAGCTTTGTTATTTTTGTCCACCAAAGCATTGATTGTCCATCTATTTGCCAGCATAAGTGGGTGACTAGGTGTGACATGATGTAGACAGATGGAGCATCCTGCCCAAGATCACCCAGAAAGGGGCTGAGCTGGGATGCAAAGCCAGGGGTGTCTGTCAAGGCCTGTTCTTAGTCTCTGTGCTTCCCTAAGAGAGGAGTTTCTGGAGGAAGGACATTTACATCTTTGAAGGGTTTTGATAACCAATTGCCAAACCCTTGTATTTTCTGATGGCCCTGGGCCATCAGAGTTCAGAGTACCTTTATGGCTTTAAAATTCTACTTTAAAGCATTTACATGATCTCAACTCATTTTTGCTACTCTTGCCATCTCTGCTGGTCTGTTGTCACCCTTGTGTGAACACAAGTGACTTCCAGAACCACAACCTAGAAGAAAAGAAAGCCCAGCCTTGTTCTCTTCTTCAGACCTACCTTTGTTTCCCTGTACATCCTGGCCCAGGCTGGGTTCAGTTACACAGAACCCTAGATGCAATAGCCAAGGAAAATAAGTTTTCTTTGACTTGGTTTAACTTGCTTGATAACAGGTCCTTACGTATATACTTACCTAATCCAGATAATCATGGAAAAAATCTTGCTTTCAAGCTTCTATGAATCCAAAAATTAGTTGATACAGTCTTGGGTTATTACATTTTATCATTTTACTTCTCCATGAAGATTGAAACTCGGTAGGAGTTCATTAAGACCAAAATAATTACTTGACTTCCCCCTACCAGGAAAATGGGGGGGAGGGCGGTGGATTCCAGAGGCGCTCTTGCATCCATAGGATGAGCAATAGCAAAGGAGTGTGTTCCTGTGACTTGATGGCTTTGTGTGAAATGCGTTGGACTCTCCAAATGTCAAGAGCACCAAGGACTTAATTTTTTCTTCTTCTTCTTAATCCTCACCAGAGAATATTTTGATTGATTTGAGTGGGGGGCTGGGGGGGACATCCATGTGAAAGAGAAATCAGGAATTGAACCTGAAACCTTTTGGTGTACTGGATGACACTCCAACCAACTGACACCCAGCCGGGGCAGGAGCACTGAGTAGTTTAAACATGAACTACCCAGAGTGTAAGTGAATTATGTTTAAATTTTGCTTTCCTGTTTTTTATATTATTAAAGTAATATTTAAAACAGTTGTTAAGGCAACTATTGATTTCATTGCCCTTTTATGGGTCCCTTTGCTTATTCAACAGGACCTTCTCCCTTTACTTGTTTTCTTATACTTTGTAGCTGCCCCTATCTGTGTCCCTTCCCTGTCCCAGGGAACTATTTATTGGTGAGTACGGTCCAGTTGTTCAAGGGCAGGAGGCCTTCAGCTGCTCGCCAGACTTCTGATGGCAAGAAGTTATGTGCTGGTTATGTGGTTCTGGGCTTAATAAACCATTATTTGCTTTCTAAGTGGGATCTGAAAAGATCAAAAGCTCACTTTTAAGGTTGTCTTCAGCTGACTTCTGGATATGATTTAGGCAGGTTAAATGTTTCTTTTAGTATTGTTCAGAGCATGACAGCTCCTTTTTCTCCAGAGAACCCTTAAACATTGATGTCGTAGCAAAGTCACATAAGTGGTATGTTACTGGGAAATGTTGTTGGCATTTGCACAACAGACTCATCATAAAAATCCTGTTGAGCCCAGCCGGTGTGGCTCAGTGGTTGAGTGTCAACCCATGAACCAGGAGGTCACAGTATGATTCTTGGTCAGGGCACATGCCCTGATTTCTGGCTCGATTCCCCGTAGGGGGCATGCAGGAGGCAGCAATCAAAGATTCTCTCTCATCAATGTTTCTATTCCTCTCTCTCTCTCTCTCCCCCTTCCTCTCTCTGAAGTCAGTAAAAACATTAAAAAAAAAAAAGAAAAATCCTGTTGGTCCAGATTGAGCAGAATCAAAGACTCTACTTCTTGCCCTTCTTTCCAGGGATGATGACATTGAAGTCATTGTGGATGAGACCTCTGATCACACTGAAGAGACCTCTCCCATGCGAGCCATCAGCAGAGCAGCCACGTAAGTAGATGGGTTTGGCCAGGAAAGGAGAATGCAGGTGCAGTTTCACAGAGCACATTTGTGGCCACGACAGCAATCTGATGCACCCAAGCCTCTGTGCTGGGGCACTGGTCCTCTTGCACAACCACAGAGATCAGTAGGCTCCTCGGTGACCCCATCTTGCAGTCTACTTAACGGAGGCAAGCCATCCCCTAATGTTGCCACCTGCTGTGAGGGGAAGCAGAAAAAGTTCAATGGTTCCTAAAAAATGACAGTTCAACCTTATTAGGCAGGGTGATTGTTTAGATCAACGGTCGCCAACCGGTGGTCCTCAGACCACTGGTGGTCCGTGAGGTCCGAGAGGTTGGCGACCGCCTGTTTAAGGAAACCTTTGGAGCAGCGGTCGCCAACCAGTGGTCCGTGAGGTCGGAAAGGTTGGTGACTGCTGGCTTAGATCATACTGTTTAATTCTTATTGGGATCCAGGATTCTTTTTATTTGGTTAAGCAGGACTGAAAGAATGGGGATTGGATATTAATAGCCAGAAATTATTAGGTCAGTTAGACAGTTTCATTGTCAAAAGCATTATTGCCAAGGAAGTTAATTTAATTCTAGAGAGCCTTGTTTCTTTTAAAACTTTGAGGCTGGGTTTCCCTCCAACCTTCCCACTGTTGTCTGGTGGTTTGTACTGCGATGGGTTTCTCAGCTGGGGTTTGGGAACTTGTGGGAAACATACTCCCAGGTAACCTATTTTTGTGGACTGTTTTTATTGATTGATTATTTGGGCAAAATGTTCCTAAGGTTTAAACCTATCCTCCCCTCCTCTTTAGTAAGCGACTCTCGCAGCCTGCTGGAGGCCTTCTGGATTCTATCACTAATATCTTTGGGTAGGTTAGAAACCTTCACCTTTCCTTGTTCATATGTATGTAAATATACCTAAGTATATATGTACATGATTTATTATCTTTTTTTTTTTTAATGTACACCAGAATGTCAGTGGTACAGAATATACAGATGCCTTAATTTCAGCTTTTCATTTAGCTTCTTTCTTTTTCCTCAACTTCCTTTCTCTTAATCTTGCTGCGTGCTGATCTCTGGCCTTATCCTTTAGTCTGTCCGACTCTCCCATTTTGGGACATCACTCTTCTTCTGATGCTGCCAGGTGAAAATATTATCTACTCTTATCCCAGCATGTGGGTGTGGGTCATTGATAATTGAGCTGATCAACGCTTCACTGCCCTCCATCATCTATGTCCATGTTCTAACCAAGATGCTTTGCATGTTCCTAGGAATGCCGGCAGCCCTCTGAGTGGGGGCGGTTAGGTTGAGCTCTGTACAGCAGCCACGCTCTCGCCGCTCTTTCTTGGCATGTTTTCAACTTGCCTTGACCACAGTGTATGCTGAGGATGACTGACTAGGCATAGAAACGTCTTTAAATTGTTTTACAAAAATACCGAGCTCTTTCTGAGCTCGCACTTAGATTATGTTCAGAAAGTCTTCAGTAGTTTATGGACTGGGAAGCAGTAGTTCAGGACTCTTCTCAATGTTGAGTTTTGGAATCCATGAGTTAGCAAACAGGGGAGTACATGTATGTGCTGTCTATTTTCCCAGTTATCCTTGAGTGAGGGTGTTTCTGATTTGGCCAGTCATTTTCTAGTTTGAAGGGTCTAAAAGGGAAAAGAAGTTATTGATAAAAAGGTCTTTGACTCCCTTCTGAGGTTGATGGACAAGTAGCCTTGTGCTGTCTTTTCTAACGTTCTCCTTTATGTTACTTCTTAGGAGGCGCTCTGTCTCTTCCTTTCCGGTACCTCATGACAATGCGGATACTCATCCTGGTTCTAGTAAAGAAGTGAGAGTCCCAACAACTGCAGTGTGTGTCTTTGTAAGTATGGTTTCTCCCCAAACCCACACCAAGCCTAGTATGGTAACAGTGTGACAATTAAAGGGTCCTTTCTCCTGCTGCAGCTAATAAACTCTTGCTTTATTTATATCAGGCCTTTGCCCCTGTCTCTGTGTGATGAAAGGGATTAATACATTTTGCTTAGCTTCAGAGGATAGAATTTATTACAGCCACCCTCCGTAATACAGGACTGGCTAAGAGAGGATTGGAAGCATGAGGGATGGGGCATGGGCAAATAATTAGAGATGTGAGAAATTAGTAATTCATGCGATCGCTATCACCAGTTGGCTCCAATTTAGAGTAAGAGTCTAGTCCATGGTCTGTTTGGAAGGGTCAATAGGGTGACTATAGGCTTCATGATTCCCACCTCTATCTGTGGGACTTCTGACCGTTAGGAGCACATGGTTGGAAGCAGTTCTTGGCAGAAGCCATTGTGGTATCAAGTACTGTCAGCTGGAGTTCAGAGCTGGGTCCTAGTACCAAAGGATAGTGTGGTCCCTGCTGGGGAGGCTGAGCAGACATTGAACCAGCGTGGAAACAGGAGAGTGCCTGGCTCAGGGCTCAAGTGAAGGGGGGCGTGGGGGGGGGGGCAGACAGGAAGAGCAGATCCCAGTCAGTTGGGCTGACACTTGCAGTGAGGTAGAGGAGCCAGCTTTCAGGGAGAGAAAGACTTGTTATAAAAATGAGATGGGATTTATAAGGGGGAGCTTTCCGTTCTAGGCATCAGGAGAAACTTTAGTAATTGGATATTTGCACACAGTGAACTACCTTAGATGTAAAGAAAGTCCCACTGTACTCCTGTGGTTCCCTGGCAGGCCTGGCACCTCACAGAGGTCAATGATGATTGGTAAAAGGTCTGATTGCACTTAGTGTCACAGTCCCTTCCTTGCCCTCAGCTCCCAGCAGCCCATTTTTTCCTCCTATCACATTTAAGTCATGTGCATGGGATAATGGAGCAGCTGATAATTGGGATTCTGTCAGTGTGTGTTTCTGAGAGTGGTCAGTTCACAGCTGACAACTATCCAACAGAACCAGCCTTCAGGAGCGTGACGAGGGCAGCATGGGTGTGATGGTGCATGATCTCAAGTTTTCAATCTGAGACCTCTTCAATAGAAAGACATAGTCTTTTTAAAAGACAAGGAAGGGAATTACAGGAGCTAAAAAGTTTGGTCTCCTGTCATACAGCTTTTTAGCAGTGGATACAGGAGGGACGGGAAATCAGATCACCAAGCAAGGAAATAATAAAGTGATGTTTATATTCAGTTATGCTCGAAATAGTATGTTAAGTAAGCATCTTTTTCAGTCCCAGGCAAATGTGAAGATCAGATTTTGTCTTCCCCAAATAACCTTTTGGGCAAATGATTGATGACCTAATGATCTAATGTTTATAATCCATTTTTTCATGGTCTTGGGTTTTTTTCCATTTTATTGTGGAAATTTTCAATCATCAGAGTGGAGAGTAAAAAGAACGTTGGGGTACCATCATCCAGTCTGGCAGCTTCATTTAGCCACGTTTCTCCATCTTACTGTCTCTCCCCTGCACATTCTTGTTGGAGCAGAGTCCCAGACATTGTTTTATCCATAGATATTTTAGTATCCATGGTCTTTTTAAAAAAATATGTTTTTATTGATACTTTTAGAGAGAGAGAGGGAGAGGGAAAGAGAGAAACATGAGTCGGCTGCCCGCTGCACAACCCCTACTGCAGATCAAGCGACCTCTTGGTGCATGGGTTGATGTTCAACCAACTAAGCCACACCAGCCTGGCCACGGTCTTTAAAATAATTTATTTTATTTTATTTTATGTTTTAATTACAGCTGATATCCAATAATAATTTTATTCCGTATCCAGGGTCTTAAAGAGAAGAGATTATAGCAACAACTTCTGGCATTTTCTCCTCTCAATCTAGGATGGGATGCTTTTTGCTTGGTTTCCTTTATTATCCTGACCACAGATGCCATTTTGTCATATCATGTGTTCCAGTGTGGAAGCCAGTCTTAGTAATTTCCCTATGATGAACTTAAATTCTCCCAACTAACACCTGTTAACTTTTGTTGAAGGTCTTGTAGTCAGGCACAGTCCTAGGTCACAAGACTTCTGGAAGTCCTTTTTTATAGATGAGCAAACTGAGGCTTCAGGAAGGTAAGGAACTTGCCAGAAGTCACACTGCTCATACATGTTAGTGCCCGCATAGAATCTCACTCTAACACTGCTGTGCCTCAGTAGCACTGGCATCTGCTCATATTGGGACTCCATGTTAGAATATCCTTGTTAGGAAACCCATAAAAGCTTTCTTTATCATGAGAAGTCATGCTGTATGTTAATTAGATACATAAATGTGATGTGTATTCATGCAATCTGGACCAAAAGGAAAGCAGGTAATCACACTCTTACTCTAAAGCTATTGAGATCATACAAGAATATAAATTGAAATTTCTTATTCTTAAAAGAAATAAGATTAATGTGACAACAAACTTGAAGCAGTTTACACAGAGTTTGAATCCTGAAAGGTTGCACTGTATTTAAATAAGTGGAACTGTTAGCTATAAGAATAAAATGATAGAATCTTAGGAAAGCCTGTGCTAGGAACCCGATGTAGTTTATGATGAGATTCTTCTCATTAGGGATGAATGTTCAACCTCGTGAGACATTCAGAGGGCTCACTTGTATTGGGCTGTCTCTTCCTGGGAATGGCAGTGATTGGGTCTGAAAGGGTGCTTGTCTTGCAGGATGCTCATGACGGGGAAGTCAACGCTGTGCAGTTCAGTCCCGGATCCCGGCTGTTGGCCACGGGTGGCATGGATCGGAGGGTTAAGCTTTGGGAAGTGTCCGGAGGTGAGATCTCAGAGTGTACAAAAGGAAGCTGTGACATCTGATTGACTTGGTTTCAGGCAACCTTTGAATTGTTCATCTTCTCAAAGCACAGTTTGTGTAAGGAGCCTGACCAGAGCATCATTACTGTCTCAGTTGCACTTTATAGCTGATGATGTTTTCTCTGCGTTTCCAAGCAGTGACTGGAAAATACTGTAAAGTTATGGATATGTTTGTGTCTTACAAATATATACTAATCAGAACACCTTCCAAGAAAGTGCAGGTTTTTAAAGGAAAATTAAAAGCAGCTTATCAGACAAGGACCCTAAGATCAAGACACGGTCTTTGATTAGACCTTGTTTCAGAATTGATCTCAGAGCTCTCAGAAATGGGATGGCATTTTGAAAGATGGGAGTTAATGAACCCATCTCTTAAAATGCTGAAGCTACAACATAGCCCACTTTCAACATTTTGAGATTCAGTTAAATATACATATACCTTTAATAAAGCAAGGTCAAAGAATAGGCTGAAGGTTTTTGTAGGAACCACTTTGTCAAGTTTCGAGTCCCTTGTTTCCTCCATGACAGCCTCCCCTAAGCTGTAGAGTTGCTGAAGAACACTGTAGATCACTGTGGTTACAGAAGAGCAGTCTGTCTGTTAGAACAGGTGGTCAGTAAAGCCCCAAGTGTGTCTGCCCTGGCATTTGATTTTCAGGAAAGTGCCTCATTAGTTAAATCCCTGGCAGTTACAACTAGTTGAAGCCCATTAGAATTAGTCCACAACAGCCTGTTCAGTCTGCAGTTTTGTTCCTCTTGGCTAATATTTACTGAACCTTGGAAGGTACAAAGTCCAAGAGACTGTTTATGAAATAGTTTGGGGTGTCCTGTTTTTACTCTTTTAAAATATCAGAAGAATGGCACTCTCCACCCAGTAGGAACACCCATCCTTGCTCTTTCTATCAAAGCAGAGGCTCCATTGGTAATTACTTCTATAAACAGCGTTAACATAACCTCCCTTGGTGCCTTCTAGATAAAAGAGCTTTTGACTTTTAACAAGGTGTTTGGTCTTTGAGATCAATCTCTTGTGTGGAATAGCATTTATCAATCACTTCTTGCATTTTGGCTGCCAAACAAGTAGACGACTATTTTGGGCATAAGTCAGAGAGCTGTTTCTTAGAATTTGCAGTAATAATTTGGTCTGTAAAGGTGTAATCTAAATAAAGACCTTAATTAGTGGATGTTGGCCCTTTTTTACTTTAGAAAAGCTAATGAAAGCTAAGATCCAGGAAGAGGCATATAATGTGCTATATTTTTCAGTTAAGTATAGAGGTGGAGTTCATAGACCAGGTTAGTAATCCCAGTCCTAAATCTGTTTGACAGCTCCAAACCAGTGTTCATATTGCTATTATTTAGAAGTGCTGAGAAAGATAACATTGGAATGTTTCTCGTCCTGTGCTCCCCTTTTATGAACTTGATTTAGAATGGGTCCCTAATTGTTTTCCTAGCTTGTCTATATAGGTCACCCTTAAGCCACCCTATAAAAAAGGAATATAATCACTTCATCATCGAGACTTGTAATCCTGTAAGCTTATGTCTGCATAATTGAAGTTTCCGTGTGTGGGGCCAGCTCTGTGAAAGCGGGACCCAGGAGCGGTAGCTGAGTCTGTTGGTGAGGGAGGGAACACTGGCAGGCAGTTGGGTTGCCAGAGTCTTGGGGTTCATGGAAAGAGTAAGTGCAAGGACAAACTCCAGAAATTTCAAACTAGCTAACTGGAATTCTAATGACTAGTCATTTACATCTAACTAAGCAGAAGCTCTTTTCAGACATTCCTGAAGTGATCACACCTGGATTTTGAAAAGTTGATGGTTCAGAGTTAAGTTGGTCCAAACACGGATCAAACCCAAAGATGTGTTTATGATGTAAGTTAGAAAATTTTACTGAGAAATAACAACTAAATGAAACTCAGTCTCTAAGTCGATTGACATGGCCTATATACACTAAATTTCTCTAAAAGGACAGCTTAACACACATGCAAAATGCTAGGCTCTGCATCCACATATACCTTCGTTGCTCTTAGAAATGTCTCATATTCTGTCTGTCCTGCTGGTTGATTCTGTGATGGTGCAGGAATGCTGTTTTGACAATATAGTTGGCTTCCAGTGTTTCGGGTGCCCCATTTTAACTTACATAATGGCTTTACCTTCTTGTCTTTCCTCCATCTTTCTTTTTATCCAGACAAGTGTGAGTTCAAGGGTTCCCTCTCTGGCAGTAACGCAGGAATTACAAGCATTGAATTTGATAGTGCTGTAAGTATCTAACACCCAGGGAAATAGGTGCGTTCAGAGGTGTTTAGAAACAAGACATCTGGTTTTCAAAATTTAAAAATAACTCACCTGGTTTGCTACTTATCTTGAGTAAAATCAGTATTAAAGAAAGATGCAGGTAGATTACAAATTCTGTGCTGATCATGACTGGGTTGGGGAGGCAGGTCTGCATTAACCCAGCTGATCTCTGCAGACTTGATAAAAGTCCCAGTTTGGGCTGAGGTGTTGTGGGTGGAGAGGAGGGCATCCAGCTAGACCTGCACCAGAGATGAGCAGATCTCCGAGGGGGTAGCTGGGAGGTGAGACAAGGGGAGAGTCAGTTCCTGTGGGCTTTCTGGCTGGAGCAGCGTGTAGAGAATTAGTATTTGCTATTACTGAAGGCGGGCAGCGGAGGGAAGTGAATGCAGGAGGCCAAGTTCCATTTTGAGCTGGAGGGTCTTCAACCTTCAGGCAAGATTGAGCGAGCTTAATAGAAAGGTCTGAACGTAACGGGGTGGGTGAGTTGACAGACACTGGTGGTAATAGTTGGTATTTGGATCAGGTATATAGTTTTAGACATCTAGACCTTCTTGGACTTGATTATTGGGGAGTTTGTATTGTGTGAACTGAATTCCTCTATTTTGGCTGAAATCTGTGTCTCACCCTCCCTCTCCCTTTATTTCAATAGGGATCTTACCTCTTAGCAGCTTCAAACGATTTTGCAAGCCGAATCTGGACCGTGGATGATTATCGGTTACGGGTAAGACCCAGTTAGGAAAATTAGTATAATCTCCTAACTTCTCATGGTTATCAAAGGCACAACAATGGTAGGCAATAGCAGGTCCATTTAATCTGCAATAGGAAACCTTCACTTTTCCATGAAAGACTCAGAACATTCCTATTCATAAGAGGAGGTACTTCCATAGATACCAGTCTTAGCTTAATTTCCGTGATCTTGATGACAGCATATAAACTGACTTAGTAATTACCTCCCAGAGTATAGCTGGAAAGTAGGATATATAGACATACATATGGATGCACTGTGATTGAGAGAAAACAACTGGTGCTAGGAGTCAGATGGAAGGGGCGGGGGGGGGGGGGGGGAGTGTAATGGGATCAGATGTGGAGGAAGCCTGTATCTGAACCCAGACTTGCCGAAAAGTCCTGTGGATTCCAAGACAAAGACCAAAACGTGAGGGTTATATTGCCTTTGTTCTAATGAAAAACACATCATTTGATTTGGAGACTGGCTTTTCTCCTTAAGCTTGAAGGAGTCTTCACATGAGCTCGTTAAATAAGGGCTACTGAAAGCTAAGATGGAGGGCGAACTTGACATTGGTAGGCATTTTACCAAAAGACTTTGACAGCAGCTCTGTGTGTCAGCCCACACAGAAAACGGCATGATGTCAAGATGAACTTATTAAAGGTAGATGCAGGGAGGTGGGAGCTGTGCTGGGTGGTGTACGGTGGTCTGTTTTGGTGACGCAAGAGTGCAGCTAGAAGATTCATTAAAAACACAGTGAATGGATCCCTTAGACTTTCCATTTTCTTGAAGGTGCTGTGAAAAATGATCACAGTGGTAATTCTTGACTCTTAGTTGAAAGAAGATCCAGGGCTGCACATATAAAGTCTAAGGCTTGAAGATGACAGATTATGTTCTCTGAAAGCTGAAGAGCCTGCCTGGGTTCTTGTCTGAGTGAAGGAGTGGAAGTGGACTGCTGGCACCCACAGGCAGCGCTAGGCTTGCCTCAAGCAACAGTTCACGTCTGTTCAAATATTTGAGCGAGTTTTCAGCTTAAAGCGTGAGAGTTCACGCTAAACATGGAAAGATGCCTAGCCTGTTCCATAGCAGTTTTTTAATTCGTTCTGTGGTCTGCCATGTTCTGTGTAACTGCCGTGTAAGACAGTTGTATGCGTCTACAATCATTAACTTACCTAAAGGAAGGTGGCTTTTCTTGAGTGGCCTCTGTATTAGACCCAGTACCGAGGGTGTTATGTGCATTACTGCTGTCGTCCCCAGGGAGGCTCCGATTTGCCCGAGGTCACATAGTTAACAAACAGGTGAGAACTGGAATTGAGGCCTGTGCTCTTTCCTGTGTTGGATTGGCCTGGATTATTCTAGACTGGGAAACAGCTGAAGTGTTTAATTGAGGGACGTACAGCTTTCCTTACATTTGCGGCCCTTGGAGGGAGGACCCAGGCAGGCAGTTGATTCAGTCAGTTGTGCAGGATGTGTTTTTCGTTGGTAGAGTTCTTTACAGGTGGGCATCACCTTTGGGTCTGACATAAGAGGAAGAGGATCTGGAGGTGAGGTAGCTCTGGAAGACAGAGGTCATACTGTTGGGAAACTTTTCTCAAGTGCGCTAGTTTGCAGAGTTTTATCAGAGAGGGTTCTGCAGGGTTCTGCAAGCTGGGCTCGTTTTGGGGCCGTCGTCTCCTTTGCTGGACTAGCTGGCTCTGTGGCCTCAGGTCTGCTCACAGCCATGTCCTGTCCCTCAGTAAATGTGGGAAGAGATCCAGGAGGCCTTTTTCATACATCACACCCTTACCAAGGCCTGGAACTAAGTGGGCTTCCTGTTGTAGGGGCTGTGGCTCCCACTTAGACCCTCTTTACAGAGGATGAATGGACACCTATGGTCTAAAACTCAGATCCAAGCTCTGGTCAGTCTCTCTTTAACTTTGATGATAAGTGAATAGTGTTGGGAGAGACTAGAGCAAGAAGCAACTGGGTGAGTGCTTGCTTTAAAACCCTTTCAGTAAAGGGCCCCTAGAAACAGCCTGGCATTGAAAGGGGCCCATGACAGGACTCCTTCAATACCAGGTGTGTTAAACTCCCTTAAAAATCTAAAGTCAGTGCCAACTGGCCCGGCCACTCTCTGAGCTGTGACTTGAGAAACTGGATTGAAGAACCCACCCTGTTCAGTTCTCTGACAGTGACGTGGAGAGGTGGCCAGAGGCAGGACTGGCTTTCAGGTGGTGGTTATTATTTCAGAAACTTCCTCATCAAGTTCTGCATTTCTCTGGCATCAGTGGTCTTCGGTTGATATTAACAGTAGCTGCCTGCATGGTGGGCAGCCCTCAGGGTCTGCCCCGGAACACGCGAGTCTGGGCAGAGCGCTAGAGAAGAATGCCAAACCTCCCTCCCATGTGGGGCTCGAGCTGCTGCAACAGCCGAACCCACTGTGGCATGTCTAATGAGTCCTTGTTGAAAAGACTAAGGTAAAACTTAAAAGTAGTATTAAAATTAAGTATTATAAGTGAATACAAAAAACTGAGTGAATGATATAATTTTTAATCTGATCCACTTAGAATAAGCACTTTTTAAATGGTAAAAGTGAGTGCTTGTAGGAGGCTCAATTCCTTGCCGTTGAGAACATGGAGATAGAGCTTGTCAGCCTCAGGCAGATCCATCTGGGTTTCCACCAAGAGCAAGATTTGCAGAAGTCCAGACTTTAAAAAGCAAGCTAACAATACATATGAAGGGCCAACCAATAAAAACATTCCTTTTCTTTAGTCCATTAGTCCAGCGGTTCTCAACCTGTGGGTCGCAACCCCTTTGGCGGTCGAAAGACCCTTTCACAGGGGTCACCTAAGACCATCCTGCATATCAGATATTTACATTACGATTCATAACATTAGCAACATTACAGTTATGAAGTAGCAATGAAATAATTTTATGGTTGGGAGTCACAACATGAGGAACTGTTTTACAGGGCCAGAGATTGAGAACCACTGCATTAGTCCAATAGTTCATTCCAGGAAATAAGTCAAGAAAAAAAGCTGTGTGCTCATAGTGTTCATTGCAGCATTATTTGTCATCATGAAACTTTTAAAGCAACTTACGTGTCTGCTGGCCAAGGAAATTTCAGCTAAATTGTCACCTCACCACATACAGATTATTCAGCTATTGAAGTATTTATGAAGACTCAAGTGTGAGGGTGCAAACAGGAAAAGAGTTAGTGCTGTCCACATGTGCCTATTTCATACTGCTAAACCAGCGCGAGAAAGAGATTTGTCTTCCTCAGTTTAACTTAGAGGCCCAGGCTGTGTAGAGCCACATCAGTGTGACCCCAAGCCCATGTGTTTTCAGCTCTCACATGAAAACCTGCTTATACTATAATGTTAAAAATAACAAGAAATATACAGAAATGTGAAAGTGTGCAAGAGTGAGTGCATTCGCATAGCCCATTCATGAGCGATGTCATTTTCTCCCTATGTTGATGAAATGTGATTACAGACAGTGCATATACACAGAACTAAGGACTTAATTAACATTGCATGAGAAGTACCTACCCAGATTCCTGTCTCCTCTGACTTGTACAGATTGGTTGAGTTGTACTGAGTGGACTCACGTTCCTGTACTGTGTGGAATGTCAGCTTTGGTGCTGGAGTTGCTTTCACCAGCAGGATTGGTGGCAGCTTTCACACTGCTACAGCCCAGCCACCACCTGCTGGCACACTTGTAAGATCAGTCCCACTTTCAGAGAGGTGTCGGGTGAGGGATGTGAGTGAGAAGCGAACAGACTTCTTAGAAAGGGAGAAGTACGCGTGTCCTAAGTTTCTGTTCCTGTACTAAATGCAGTTGCTCCACTCAGTATAGCAGAAAGACGGGACTCTTAAATTTCAACACTGAAAACTTTACACGAAACTCTGAGGTCTCATCTTTGGGAGTGAGGTTGAAAGCCATCATTACCAGTGGAGTAAGTATACTAGGGTCTTTTAAAAAGGCTTGTTTTTATTAGAAAGAAAACATCAGTGAATACCTTTTGAGCCTTGGAGGTTTTGCAAATATAAAAGAGGTCAATGATGACTAGTAAAAGGGCTGACTCCCCAGGTCCCCTCCCTGCATCCTCACCATCCCCAGCCGCCTTGCTCCCATCAGGCTCCAGTAGTGCTTTGATGAGTAAAGGGGCAGCTGACACTCTGTGATGTCCCAGGTCTGTGTTCCTTGGCGAGCCCAGGGAGGACACGTGGTTGACATCCCACAGCCAGTCTTGAAGGGATGTGATTACTGGGAGTGTGGTACCTGTGGTTCTGATCTGACTTTCAAGCTGAGACCTCTCTTTGAAAAAACCCCCAGGGCTTTTAATTGTTTATTTAATGAGGCCTGATGTTTCCTTTTGTAAATTGTGTCTATTCTGACTTTTAGAGGCACTGGCTAAACCCAAAGCTTTTAAAATGTTGTGATTTGATATAATACAGTCTTATAAAAAAGGTGCAAGAATAGTGCAGTGTTTCAAAAAAGTCCTCTGGTTGCCCTTGCTGGTTTTGAGGATGGGACACGTGAACTTTGTACTGGTGATGTTTTTGTTTTTTGGTTTTGGGTTTTTGTTTTTTTTTATGTTATTGTGGTCAGAGATTTATCCTATTCCTCTAATATACCTCACCTCTGGGCAGTACCCGTAGATAGATAGGCTTTTTGGGTGTTTCCCCAGCTACTGGTCCTTCTGCCTCTGATGTTCCTGACCAACCGTTGGGTGTTTGGAGAAGCTGGCTCTCGCAGTGTGCTGCCCGCAGGCTTATCCCGCTGTATTTTCTCTCTTCTAGCACACACTCACGGGACACAGTGGCAAAGTGCTCTCTGCCAAGTTCCTGCTGGACAATGCGCGTATTGTTTCTGGAAGTCATGACCGGACCCTCAAACTCTGGGATCTGCGCAGCAAAGTCTGTGAGGAAATTCAGTCTCTCTGTTTATATGTGGGATTAGACATTAACTGCGGAGGTGTTTGTTTCTACATCAAAGCCTGCATTTAGTGTGATACAGTTTGAATGCAAGTGAGAATGGTGCTGAGGTGGTGGCAGTTTTCCATGTTTGAAGCTTCATGTGAATGAGGAGTTCTGTTGGCTTGGGGTCTGAGGGAGTGAGGTTATGTGGACAGCCACAGAGGAGCTCTGCTTGATGACTGATGTTCGGCTTTCTTTCAGGCATAAAGACAGTGTTTGCGGGATCCAGCTGCAACGATATTGTCTGCACAGAGCAGTGTGTAATGAGTGGACATTTTGACAAGAAAATTCGTTTCTGGGACATCCGGTATGATACCCAAGAGCTCCCTCGGTGGGGAGGCATGTGAGAGGGTCTGTACGTGGTAGAACTGTGAATATTTGTATATCGGTTGTTTTTTTAAATCCCTGGAAATGCAGAGATAAGCTCCAGTCCACATTTACTTTAACAGTTTGATATTCTTTACCATGAAGTCGACAGTTGTGGTCAACAACCATGGATTTGCACTGTGTACTTACCGGTGCATGATCAGCAGAGATGAACACCTGGGTGGGTGGGTAATTAAATGTAGTAGGCGGGACAGACACACAGGTCTGCCCTGAGTGCTGAGGCATTCAGAGCCAGCCCCTTTGTTCAGCGATGTTAGACTCATCTTGAGAGGAGAGCAGGCTTCTTATTGCAGAAAAGCCCCCGAGAGACATTCTGGGCAGGGGAGACTGATACTGTGTGTTGGGACCAGATGGCCAGGGCCTTTATAGGCCATTTTGTAAAAGACTTGATCTTAGAAGCCATTGGATGTTCAGCAAAGGATTGCTTCCCAGGAGTCTAGTAGATTGTGTGGGTGGCACTTTTAGAGGGAAATCAGCAGAGTTGATGAGGATCTGAACTCCAAGCAGTGGAGGAAGAAGGTGGGCATCCACTTGAGTGAGAATTCTGGCAGGATTTGGTGACAAGTTGAATGTGAAGGTAGGAAGGAGAAAACTAAAGCAGGACAATAAATGACAAGTTTAGGAAGAGGGTGCAGAGAATGTGTTCAGCTAAGGACATTAGTTTGTGGTTTCTAATAGGCATTTGGGAAAACAAAAGCAGAATTTTTGAAAGAGGTTGGAAGTCCTCAGGAGAGGACTTTGGAGGCATGAGAACAGATTACTCAGACACACGTAAAGCAGTAAGAAGATAGCACTTAGGGGTCCGTCTGAGGAGGAGGAACTAGAAAGGGCAAGAGAACCAGAGTCCTGTGGATGGGCCACGGCTAAGGGAGTAACGGGGTCAGGTGGCAGGAGGGGTCCAGTTGGATGAGGCTGGTTTGATAGGAGGTGGTTGGTGATCCGATTGAGTGAAGGGAGGGCAACTGGGGCAGAAGCCCAGTTGTTGAGCAGTTGTGGACAGAATGGGGAGTGAAGAGCCTTGGCTATAGATGAGGCTTTGAAAGGCCTGGGATGATGCTCCTGACTCCTAGATATCACTTCAAGTTTTACTGGTGTAGCGCCTAATTTAAGAGATGAAGACCCCGAGTTCCAAGGCAGTGAAGTGTCTTGCCTCCAGCCACATACTTACCAACACTAAGATAAAACACTCTTACTTAGTTATGGTTTGTGGTAGGAAATCATCTCCTTAATCGCTTGCTAGTACACCAAAATGCCTGCAGAAGGGTCTGCACCTCCTTCACCTGCATCAGCAACAGGGTCCTGCCCAGGATTTCTGTTCACAGGCCTGGCTATGGACGGGCCCAGATGAGAATCTAGAGAGTGAAAGAGAGAGGGCCTTGCAGAGTGTGGTGACTGCCCCGGAGTCCCAGTTTCACATCTAGCATCACCAAGAAGTTGGGGGCCCCTGAGCTGAACTTAGTGTGGCAGGGAGACTGTGAGAAAGCACAGCTTTCTCCATATTTGGATAGGAGCCCTGGTTGGTACATGCTGATCAGAAGCTCCGATTGGCATTTATCGTATGGTTCCAAAAGTGGGCAGGGAAATGAATCCTTACCAGATTTAGAGTTCTAGTTCTCAAAATTATTACCATAGAGTCTGTTGATGGAAAGATAATAAAAGCAACACTGGTTATTTTTATAAGGCTGGAAACACATTCACTGCCTGGAAGAGCTTTGCATTCTGGTTGACTTGCCTTTTCCCCTTCTCTGCTCCATGGCATGCCATCCTGATTCAGATGGGGAAGTCTGACATTTCTGTGGTACATTTTCTCAGACTTTCCATCTCTTTGGTAGGTCAGAGACTATCATCCGAGAGATGGAGCTGTTGGGGAAGATTACTGCCCTGGACTTAAACCCAGAAAGAACTGAACTCCTAAGCTGCTCCCGTGATGACCTGCTAAAAATTATCGATCTCCGAATAAATGCTGTCAGACAGACATTTAGGTAACTAAAGCCACGCTGGTTTGGGGCTCCTGAGGGTTGCATGAAGACCAGAGGCCCCGGTTTGCTCTCAGACCCTGAGTACTCTGAGCTCTCGGGGTGACGGTGCCCTCTTGTTTGTTTCAGTGCTCCTGGGTTCAAGTGTGGCTCTGACTGGACGAGAGTCGTGTTCAGGTTAGTGGTGATTCTCCTTCTGCCCCACCTCACCCCCAAGCTTGGTTCACCGCAAAGGTTAGGCATGGGCATTTTCCCGCTGAGAAAGTGAGCCAGATTTATACAGTGTCTCAGCCAAGCATCCAGGAGTGAACCTGTAGATTCAGTGCTAGAGGTCACTATCATGTCCTTCCTCCCTCCTGTTCCTTCGTGATTGCACCAAAATGAACTGGTTGCCCACTTGGTTCTTGCTGGGCACGGCAGGTTCGCATCTCTCCATGCATTTAGAGAAGAGCTGTTTGAGAGCTTTTAGGCAAGTGTGGGAAAGTCTAGTGAAAAGTTCCAGCATCGCAGAGAAACTTCTCCACAGTTAATGCTTCTCTCTTTCCTCTTCCCTCTTTCCTACTTTCACTGAGCCATGTGACCAGGCAATCTGCCAGACAAAAGAAACCCTTTGCCATTCAGGGGTTGACTTGATCTCCCTGTGTGTGCTGAGCTGGAGTCTGAGGTAGTGAGGGACTGTGGCCTCAAGAAGTAACATAGTGGCACTGTTCTTCATTGGGTGGGTGAGGCCAAGATAACAGGGTGAAATAGCTTTGGTGTAACAGTCGTGAGTGTCAAGTTCTGATTTTTTGGGTATACAGGCCCAGCCCTGTGTTTGTCTCATAAATGAAGACTAAACATTGCTTCTTGCCGGGAGGTCCATGAGGATGCTGGGGGGGCGGGGGGGGGGGGGGTGACACCATTTCCTGTCTTCTGTGTTCTCCAGCCCTGATGGCAGTTATGTGGCAGCAGGCTCCGCGGAGGGCTCTCTCTACGTCTGGAGTGTGCTCTCTGGGAAAGTGGAGAAGGTCCTTTCAAAGCATCATGGGTAAGATGACCCCTGGGAGCCCCTCTGAGGTTGTGAGCAGGTCCTGTGACTTCATCCCAGGAGTCATGCTCTCTTCAGTCATGGACCTGAGTCTGCCCCACGAGGGCAGTGTGCACTCATGTGCTCTGCTGTGAGCTAGGTTAGTGGAGAGAAGCAGCCAGTCCCCCCAGTGCAGCCTGCTGCAATGCTCTGCTGGTATATTTATACAGAATCTTCCGGTTTGAGCAATCAGAATAGTGGCTGTTGGAGAAAAGAGTAGAGAAACATTCTCTTGTCTTCCCCTAGGCTCCTTTTTTTCTTAGCTTTGCTCCATCCACCCAGGCCCAACTGCTAGTTAGAACACAGTCCCAGGGTTCCTCCACAACCACCTCTCTCTGTGCCTCAAAAGCAGTGACAATTTCTACTCCTCCGTCAGTCGTCCTGTCTCTCTCTGCTTCATTCACCCAGAGCTGTTCGCTTAGGGTAGACTTGATTGGGCCTGCTCCTTTCATTCCCAAACTGCTTCCCAAAGCACAGTGCAGGGTTCCTTCTGCATTCTTCTGCTCTTTACTAAGTGCCTGCCTGTGAGCGGGAGCAGCCGGGTGAGTAAAACAGCTGTGGAGAAGGCACAACCCCCAGGAGCGAGGGAGCCTGGTGCCGAGCTCACTGAGGCCTCACAGATGTTCTGACCTCTCCCTTTGAAGCTCGTCCATCAATGCGGTGGCATGGTCCCCCTCCGGCTCCCACATCGTCAGTGTGGACAAGGGAAGCAAAGCTGTGCTGTGGTCAGAATACTGACGGTGTCTCCTCAGGAGAGAGCGGATCCGAAGCCGGAGAAGCACTCAGGCCGCAGCTCTGTCCTGGCAGGTGGCGTGTGGGGTGTAGCTTTGACCTCCAGAGAAGAGCCAGCCAGGCGACTTTCCTTTGAGCAGGACTTCTGAGGATTTGGGCTGCAGTCTCTAATGACCTGGAGGAATGACGCTGCCTCTGCAGCCACTTAGCAGAGGTGGGTCGCTGCCTCCATTCTGTGGGAAACACTACTAGCTCTGACCGTCCATACCTCAGCGGGGCAGGCAGCACAGGCAGTGCCAACAGCACCCCACATGTGTGTGGGGGGTGGGGGGTCCTCCCGCTTATTTCTTCCTTCAGAGTCAGTTCTGGCCAACGCATGTCCTGTCGCCTTGGATCATTTTCCTGGTGAACTTGCTTTAATCATTGGATTAACAGATACCCAAACAGGATTACCCCTGTCCTCAGGTAGCCCACAGGGACTGCCCTGGTTTCCAAGGAGACATGGGACTGCCGCCCTCCCTGCTGGTTCGTATCATTATTCCGAAGCTCTTAGTGTGATCTCCTGATTACGGTTGGCATTTTCTTAGGTCTCCTAAACAAATCTTGGGAAGTAACTGTTCTTCAAAGCTCCTGATTCTACATATCTATTTATTGGTCAAAACATAAACCGCAACTTGGTTACAAAATATTTTTTTGAGAGGAAGTGCAAAAACCTTTTTTTCCAGAGAAGTGTGTGTGTGCTGCAGGAGTAGGTGTCTTCCTAGACCCATCTGTCCCTTCCAAGAAAGTGGGTGCATGCCACGGTCTTTGGGTACAGCTGCTGGGACTCGGGTGTATCTCTGGAGCCAGCAGCTCCAGGTCACTGCCACTGTGCCAAGCCCATGTGCAGTGCCCTCAGTGCTGGAGCACAGGAAGCCCATTCCAGGAGGCGGGAAATGAATATCACCTTCCGTTTCAGGAGCTGTGATTGAGGTCAGGGAAACTGGCCTGGGGCATTTTTTTTTTTAAACATTTCTTTCCCATTTTCCTTGTGTATAAAATTTTGGTTCCTCGAGTGACTGAAACACCAATATTTTTATCACTTTCTAATTTGCACTTTATTTGTTTCCTCCCATACTTGCTCTCTGGACAGATGTTGGTGTGAGTGCTGGAGCCTGGTGAGGGGTGGGGGATGAGGAGTGCCTTTCCTCCTACAGGGCAGAACTCCCCTTCCCTCTTGCCCACCTTCATCTTCTCTTTTCTGTTCAGAGAGCTCGAGTTGAGGGGAGTTGAAATTCACAGGCCAGGGCACATCTTTTATTTATTTAACTGTGTTGCCCAACAGAACTTGATTGTAAATAAAAAAGAAATCTGTTATATACTTTTCAAACTCCATGTCTCTTGGTGGTTCTTTTATTCTCCTTTATCCTGGGCGGGGGGGGGGGGGGGGGGGGGGACTCTTTTATTTATTTTCCTGGCTTTTATTCATTTGTAAGTAATGGAAATACTTTCCTGGTATCTTTTTCTCCTTGTTCATTTAAGTCCAGGTTGTCACTGCCTATAAATATGAACGTCCCAGCTTCCTGTCATTTGCAATTCTTAAACAGGAAAAGGGTGTCTTCAAAACTTGGGGAGTTGTGTTCTGAGAGCCCCATGCACTTCTGTCACCCCTGCAGTTGGCTCCACAGGCAGCAGGACACGCTCCTGGGCCCTGCACGGGAGACTTTGTCCACAGGATTGATCATGAACTCTCCGTGTCTCCAGGCTCCTCTTTGTTGAAGGGGCATGAATTACCTCATTGAGGAGTGACTTTTAAATGGCAGCTCAGATACCTAGCAAGCATCCTTCTGCATTAACAATTAGCATCTCCCTGGAATCCCCCTGTAAGCCAGTTGCATTACAACACTGTTTACCAAGGAGTTGGCCAAACATCTGCTCAGCCCAGCAGCTTGAGTCAAGATAACATCAAGATCTGACGTCTCAGGCAGCACTCTCCAGAAAGCTGAAGAAACCCTTTGCAAGTGGGAGTCTTTTTTTTTTTTTTTTAATGTTTTTACTGATTTCAGAGAGGATGAGTGAGAATCTTCAATTGGTTGCCTTCTGCCCGCCCCCTGTTGGAGATCAAGCCCAAAACCCGGGCATGTGCCTTGGCTGGGAATTGGACCATGACCTCCTGGTTCATGGATCAATGCTCACCCACCAAGCCACACCAATCAGGCAAGGGAGTCATTTTTAAAGGAGACCCAAAGTAAGCATTGCAGTAGCCTTTGATTATCCTATTTTCTTTGAACTTGGAGGGGAGCATTCCTGCTGTCTCTGCTTTTTAAAAAAGTTTCAATTTGAGGTTCATCCACACTGAAGCTTTTCAAGTCACCTGGCCACCAAGATTGAGTTGATGGTGTAGACTCACTGCAGTGGAGTATGGCTTCCATCCAACTCATGGTCTTCACCCTGCCACCTTTGAGGTTATCAGGGACCCTACCTGTGCTACTGGTTTCGTTGGAGGGTGGGAGGTGGGCAAAGGACTCCTGGGTGGTTATAGCTAGTGAGCTCTTTATCAGTGTTGATGCATGCATTAACATGTCAGAAGTTGAGAATTTTAAAACATCTTAACTATTTACTAAGTCGTTGCCCACAATAGTGTAGTAAATCAAATGTGATGTCTTACTAAAGCACAGACTACGCATACTTGCCTTTATCCTAAGAGTCTTTTGTAAAGCCCCTCTGATCTTCACATGATGGCACACGGGACATTTTGTGTGGACATGGGGAAACGGAGGGGCCCAGAGTGGGTGGGTGGGGAAGTTCCAGATCACGGAGTGTGCCAAGGTGCGCAGAGCTGCCTGTGTCTTCACAACTGTGTTCTTAGGGAACTGGACATTTTAAAATGTAGACTTGAAACTCATCACTATGGGGCATCCAGAGAGGAGAGTGGCCATGATAAAGCACCCCATGCAAGACTGCTGGGCTGCAGAAACCAAGTGTTTCTGGTCTGGCCAGTATAGCTCAGTGGTTGAGCATTGACCTATGAACCAGGAGGTCATGGTTCAATTCCGCTCAGGGCACATGCCCAGGTTGCACCTCAATCCCCAGTCAGGTACATGCAAGAGGCAGCCCATGAATGATTCTCATCATTGATGTTTCTCTCCCCTCAAATCAATAAAAATGTATTTTAAAAAATGAAATTATAAATGGTATCTCAAGTGGGCAGAGCCCCTTGAAAAGCATTTAGTCTACACCCCATTCCTTGCTTGGATCTCTTCTACAATAGCCACAAGAAGTTGAATGCTTTCAGGGATGGGGAAATCACTACCACCTTTCTTTGAAAAAGCATGAAGTGTGAGAAAACCAAACCAGCCTCCACTCTACTTCTCTCCGTTGCTCCAAGTTAATCTAATCTCCTCCAGAAGTGACTATTATAATTAGAGCACAGGTGCTTATTTTTCATGGGCACTGAAACCCTTTTGCCACCCTGGGGTCCTACCGCAAGACAGATTTCAAATGTCCATCTTGAGGCAACTTGCCGAGAATGTACATGATGCTCCTGTTCTTCTTGCAGCAGGAGCATGTTGTACAAACAGCCCCAGACTGGAGTCCTGGGTTCTGAGGCTCACTGATTTCAGGTATAAGCAGCCCAACCCATAACAGCCCTCTATTCCCCAGGTCCATTGACTAAGATCATCTTGAAATTAAGGTGGCTTTTAAAAGCTCCCATTCTCTGGCACTTTTCATAAATAGAGTTGCCTCGAACTTCTCAAGCACTCTGCTCAGTAAAACGAAGGCCCTGAAGAACAAGGCTTTCATTCTGTAGCTGATGGTCAGCAGAGTGTACCAGCTTTCCTCATGCATGTGCCCTAATGAACCCCTGGATGATAACCTTGCCCCAAAGCCCGTAAGCTTCTTAGCTGAACATCCCCACCCCCACAAGCCAGAGCTGGGGTTGGTGGCAGGAGAGGAAACACAGGGCATGTTAGCTTCATCTCACAGGACGGCCAACTCCAGAGAAACAAGTATTGCTAGAGCCCATGGTGGCCAGACTTTGAGAATTCACAGTCCAGTAAATTTCCAAAAGAACTGTAGGAGAAGGATAGCAACTTTAAAAATTTTTTATCCTCACCTGAGGCTGTTTATTGATTTGAGAAAGAGAGAGACAATCAGTTGCCTCCCGTACTCACCCTGATCAGGGATCAAACCTGCAACCTAGGTATGTGCCCTGGGCAGAAATCAAACCCAAAACCTTTTGGTGTACTGGACAGTGCTTCATCCAACTGAACCACCTGCCAGGGCAGGTTGGCAACTCTTCTCTACTATTTTAAAGTTCATAAATAATAGGAAATGCAAAACTAATGACAGAGGCAAATCAGTGTTTTCCTGGGTTGTGGGGAGGGGGTGGCAGAGGAGGTTGGTGGAGGAGTTGACTAAAATGGGGGCCAGGGAACTTTGGGGTGATGGAAGTGTTCTGTGTCTCGATCATAGTGGTGAACTCGTCAGACTGTATATTGAAAATGAGTAAATTTTGTTGTATGTCAAGTATACCTCAATAAAGAAGGGGGAAGAAACACAATATTTTAATAACAAAAATTAGAACCTGCCCTGGCCAATGTGCTCAGTGGTTAGAGTGTCGGTCCACACACTGAAGGGTCACGGGTTTGATTCCTGGTCAAGGGCATGTACCTAGGTTGCATGTTTGGGAGGCAAGCAATTGATGTGCAATGTGTCTCTTATCCCTCTCCCTTTTACTCTAAAAATCAATGGAAAAGTATTCTCAGGTGAGGATTAACAGAAAAAAAAAAGTTGATAAGCTTGCAAGGAAGGTTTGCCAGTTTGATTCCACTCGGGGCATATGCCCAGGTTTCAGGTTTGGTTATCAGTCAGGGGTGCACACAGAAGGCAACCGATTGATGTTTCTCTCTCACATTGATATTTCTCTCCCTCTCCCTCTCTCTCAAATCAATAAAAATACATATTTTTTTAAAAGTCATAATTAATATAATCAGTTGGTCAAATAATGTTTTTCTAATTTTACCATTTGTTTTCCACTTATTAGCTGGCATTCCTCTATTTAAAAAGAAGTTTTCTCCCTTAGAAATTAAAAAAAAAAGGTTCCACCCTAACCGGTTTGGCTCAGTGGATGGAGCGTCGGCCTGCGGACTGAAGGGTCCCAGGTTCTATCCCGGTCAGGGGCATGTACCTTGGTTGCAGGCACATCCCCAGTAGGAGGTGTGCAGCAGGCAGCTGATCAATGTCTCTCTCTCATCAATGTTTCTAACCCTCTATCCCTCTCCCTTCCTCTCTGTAAAAAAATCAATAAAATATTTTTAAAAAAAAAAAAAAAGTTCCCCCAAGTTTATTGCCAGCTATTACACTGTTGCAATCCAATGGCTCATTGATTCACTCAAAGAATATTAAGGTCCCTATTCTAAATGCTGGAGATAGGATAAGTAAAAACATTTTTTAAAAGCTCTAAACTCTTGGAACTTATATTCTAATAATGAAGTGTAGGGGGGCAGACAATAAACAAGATTAAGAAAGTAAATTCTCTTGTATGTTAGATGACAATGATTGATATGGAGAGGATAAAAGATTTGGGAAAGGGTATAAAATAGGATGTAAATGAATAGGGTGACATTAAAGTGAAGACCCAAAGGAATGAAGGGCTATCGGTGGGAAGAGTGAGTGTTCCAGAAGAGGGAACAGTGAGTTCAAAGGCCCTGAGGCAGGTTTGAAGAAAAGCAAAGAGGCCAGTGGATGAGCTGAGTGGGTGAGACGGTGAGAAATAATGTCTGACAGCAGGAAAGCCAGGTCCTGCAGGACCTCGCAGAAATTACCACCTTAGGCGGGAAGCCACTGGCATGTTTTGATAGATGCTCACACCCCAAACAAGCTTTCTGCATATACTCCCTTCATTCCCAGACACCAGGTAAAGTCCAGCATGTGAGTAAATGGGTTAGTGGCCATGTCGTGCCATCCATTCGCTCCCTGGGTGTTCTTGGGAGCAGCTGTTCTGGGAACTGGGATCCAAAGGTGGAAATGCAGCGGCTTGAGTGCTTGCCCTGGTAAAGCCTAGAGCAAGTGTCACGTGCACTGTGCCTCTAACCTAGTCCTGGAGGATGGGGAAGGCTCCCCTGAGGAAGGGCTCTTGAGCTGGAATCTGAAGAGGGACTGAGTCAGGGAGGTGAAGAGAGGAGAGAATTGTTCCGGCACAGAAAACAGTAGGACTGGGGTTCAGGACCATGCAGAGAGGTGGGAGAGTTTTAAAGATGTGTGCCTGTGTCCTGAGAGCAATGGGACATGGTAAGCAGGGGGGTGCAGAGCAGGGCTTGGAAGGGCCTGGAGGGTGGAGGTAGATGGTGCAGTCAGACACCGCAGGGAAGCAAGGTGGCTGCTGTG